GTGACCTGCTATAAATGCACCCAGTGACCTGCCATAAATGCACCTGTGACCTGTTATAAATGCACCCAGTGACCTGCTATAAATGCACCCAGCGACCTGCTATAAATGCACCCAGTGACCTGCCATAAATGCACCTGTGATCTGTTATAAATGCACCCAGTGACCTGCTATAAATGCACCCAGTGACCTGCTATAAATGCACCCAGTGACCTGCCATAAATGCACCTGTGACCTGTTATAAATAAACCCAGAGACCTGCTATAAATGACCACCAATTGACCTATAAATGCACCCAGGTACCTGCTATAAATGCACCCAGTGACCTGCTATAAATGCACCCAGTGACCTGCTATAAATGCACCCAGTGACCTGCTATAAATGCACCCAGTGACCTGCTATAAATGCACCCAGGTACCTGCTATAAATGCACCCAGTGACCTGCTATAAATGCACCCAGTGACCTGCTATAAATGCACCCAGTGACCTGCTATAAATGCACCCAGTGACCTGCTATAAATGCACCCAGTGACCTGCTATAAATGCACCCAGTGACCTGCTATAAATGGACCCAGTGCCCTGCTATAAATGATCACCAACTGACCTATAAATTCACTCAGTGACCTGCAATAAATGAACCCAGTGACCTGCTATAAATGACCACCAACTGACCTATAAATTCACCCAGTGACCTGCTATAAATGAAACCAGTAGCCTGCTATAAATGAACCCAGTAGCCTGCTATAAATGCACCCAGTGGCCTGCTATAAATGCACCCAGTGACCTGCTATAAATGCACCAAGTGACCTGCTATAAATGCACCCAGTGACCTGCTATAAATGCACCCAGTAACCTTCTATAAATGCACCCAGTGTCCTGCTATAAATGCACCCAGTGACCTGCTATAAATGCACCCAGTGACCTGCTATAAATGCACCCAGTGACCTGCTATAAATGCACCCAGGTACCTGCTATAAATGCACCCAGTGACCTGCTATAAATGCACCCAGTGACCTGCTATAAATGCACCCAGTAACCTTCTATAAATGCACCCAGTGACCTGCTATAAATGCACCCAGTAACCTTCTATAAATGCACCCAGTAACCTTCTATAAATGCACCCAGTGACCTGCTATAAATGCACCCAGTGACCTGCTATAAATGCACCCAGTGACCTGCTATAAATGCACCCAGTGACCTGCTATAAATGCACCCAGTGAACTGCTATAAATGCACCCAGTGACCTGCTATAAATGCACCCAGTGACCTGCTATAAATGCACCCAGTGAACTGCTATAAATGCACCCAGTGACCTGCTATAAATGCACCAAGTGACCTGCTATAAATGCACCCAGTGAACTGCTATAAATGCACCCAGTGACCTGCTATAAATGCACCCAGTGACCTGCTTATAAATGCACCCAGTGACCCCCTCTATTAAAGGAATGCCCACCGTCCCTCTATTGGCCTGTAACTCCGTGTCTGAGATATGTCAAGAAGGACAACTCGCTACGTGGTGACGATACAAGGGGAGGAGACTCCCAGGTGACACCGTGGTGACACAGAGGTGACAAAACATTGGAGGAATAGTTGAAGGTGGTGCAACATTTGACAACCTGCCATCAAACACGCCAGGGACGGACGAGCGGACGTAAGAGAGAGCAGATGGAATAGACAGACGGGCCAGACTGATGAATGTCTGATAACAAAAGGTGTTTACTGTTTACCTTACCCCCCCCCCCCCCCACACAAAATTGTGTGGTTTTGGTTCCTTGGTTTGGATGTGTGGGTAAACATATTGTCGAGAGTCTTAACGAAGATTAGTTTTGTTTTGTTTACAGTTCACTGAAAGGATAGCAACGTGGCGTATACAGCTTGTATGGGAGGGGGGGGGGGGGGCATAACAAACTCGTCAGTGATGTAACCAGCCTACGTGTTACGTCACGAGCACATGAGTGACGTAACCGACTCATGTGTGAAGTGTATAGCCCACTGAGCACACGTATGTAGACACCCCCCCAGTGACACACGTATGTAGACCCACCCAAAGACCCATGTCTCAAAAGCCCATGATATACTCATGTAAACCGCCTCCCCTATGACCTACATGTATAGACCCCCACATGACCCACGTGTCAAGACCCGTGACCCACCTGTCTAAGACCCATGACCCACGTGTCAAGACCCACATGTCAAGACCCGTGACCCACGTGTCAAGACCCATGACCCACCTGTCAAGACCCATGACCCACCTGTCAAGACCCATGACCCACGTGTCAAGACCCATGACCCACCTGTCAAGACCCATGACCCACGTGTCAAGACCCATGACCCACGTGTCAAGACCCATGACCCACGTGTCAAGACCCATGACCCACCTGTCTAGACCCATGACCCACGTGTCAAGACCCATGACCCACGTGTCAAGACCCGTGACCCACCTGTCTAGACCCATGACCCACGTGTCAAGACCCATGACCCACCTGTCTAAGATCCTCCAGTGACGACGACAACTCCGAGCCATCGTCCGACGACGAGTAGTACCTATCACGTGACATGACGTCACCGGTCGTCCCACACTGACTAGATCTCACAGAAGTAACAGATCCATCGAAACACTTGTTGATGAAACGCCTAAATCCAGTGGATCAACCCCTCGGCGCGGGGTCCATGAGACACACAGCGTCCACCCGTGGCAGTCACCACCACAGCAGCACAGCCCGACGGTCGGCCGCTAGTGTGGCGGGCGGGGCTCCACTCATTACCTACTGCTGCACATATTTCAACCCCGGCTCATCCCAGACAAGAAATAGAAAGTGGCTAAAAATAGTTCAGACACCTGCACACACAAAATTATTCAGAGAGTGAGTTCCTAGGCTTGATTGAACCCCCTCCCCCTCCATGTTCCGTGTTTTTTTTTTCTTCACGATATTTACCAGAGATGTGCAGACAGATGCAGCTATGTTTGTCAAGAAAGAAAAAACGACTCGAAACCTCAGGTAAATTTCACGAGGTTTAAGACTCGTACAAACTCGGCATTGTGATACATAGTTGAGTAAAGCGGGACTACTACAGTGTGTTGGATTCTACTTGTAAATATTTACTTGTAGGCCCCGCCCCTTCCTGTGAATAAGTCATGTGATGGCATCAGGCAAATATTCCAAACACAAGCCTGGGGTTGCTGTGGCGACAGGGGACATAACCCGGTCGTGTGGTCAGTAGGGGTACACGCCGGGAACTGGGTCATCTGTGTTTTACACGCTGTGTAGTGTGTAGTGCGGTCGTGCATTGTGCCAATGCTTTGGTGCACAGTGCCAATGATTTGGTGCACAGTCAAAACAATTTGTAGTTAATGTGTTGAATGCAAGCTCCAGATAAAATACTGATACCACACCCCACCCCACCTAAAGCCTAGATCGACCAAACGTTTTCCAACATGGTTTCTAAAAATCGAAGAATGTAAACAAAAGTCACGTGATGTTACGTCACATGTCAACAAATTAATTGTGCGAGCTACAATAATTAAAAGTTTATCTTAAGGTCAACATTGATCCAAATTCAATTAGTATCAGCCAATTAAGCGTTAAGTAATGATAGACAGAGCACGACTCTGTTTATACCATTAATGTGTTTAAAACGGCATTATAGTTTTTTCATGATTTTTACACAGCAGTAGAATGTATTGGTGTTTAACACAGCAGTAGAATGTTTTGGTGTGTAAAACTGAAGTAGAATGTTTACGTGTTCAACACAGCAATACAGTATGTGTGAGTTTAACACATCAGCCCTAAGTGTTTGTGTTCAACACATGAGTATCAGTATTTACAACCCAGTTTCCTCACAACAAAATTGCCTGCTATAGCTAGTGACTCCTTCATTGATTTTCTGCCAAGCCCCTCCGTAAAATAAACAGAGTAAAAAAACATGGGAAGTAATCCATTCTTTACTCATAGCAAAAGTTAGTATGAGTTACTCCCCGTGTTTTAGTGAGTGGGCGCATTTTTTTCCAGGTAGAATTAACCTATTCGCCATGTAAGCCCTTCATGCTGATAAGTAACCCCAGATGTTGGTTGGATTACCGCCCTTGTAGCCAGTATCAATGGTTTACGAGTGCTTTATCAGAGTGATTAGGAAAATAACGTTTCAATTTTTTTTTTAATTATCAGCAATTTTTTTAAGGGGGATCAAAGGATAGAAATGTGATTTATAACCACACAAAAATATAACGTTTTGATTGCAAAACTACGGAAGGCAGGGATACATTATGAAAAAAAAAACAGTTGACTTATTTTTCTTTGTCAAGTTTTCGGTGTAAAACGCCTACTCCTCTCTCTATAGGGATTATTTGTTATTACATTTTGTGTTTATAGTTCGCTCCGACGAAGTACTTTGTCCGAAACAATGGAACTTGACATTTTCTCGAGATTTTGCCAGTTTTGGTATTGGAACTGTTGGGACGATTTGTGAACGGCGGGTCACATTATGTTCCGGGTACCGGCCAACGGTCATTTATCTTCTACTCATTTTAGTGTAGTACAGCATGTTATATGTATTCTAAAGGTGATCACATACCATTCTATGTATGGAGGACTCAGTGGCGTAGCGAGGTCGGGTGTCACCCGGTGCGGCACTTAATGGTGTCACCCCCCAGAGGCGTAGCAACCCTTCCGGGGGACAAACTTTCAAATTTTCGATTTGCACCCCCCCCCCCCTAAACTTTCGATTTGCACCCCCCCCCCCCCTTAAAGTTTTTCTCTATATATTTTGATATTTTTTGCCTTGGTGTCACCCCCTAAATGGTGTCACCCGGTGCGTTCCGCACCCCCCTCCCCCCTCGCTACGCCTCTGTGAGGGTCATACAGCAGAACTAGATACAATGGGGCCTGAGCTTATGGAAATGGATGTGATGGTAACGTTGTGACGTCATACAGTGACGTTGTACACAGTGACGTTGCACACAGTGACGTCGTACTGTGATATCATAGATTTAAAAAAAAACTTACCACGTCCCTCATAGCCGCTTGGTTGCCCGGGGCTCCCACGGTGTGACGTCTGGGGGTCGGGCGTTTGCCTGGGCCGGACCGGTACTGCTCATCGTCCGGGTGGACCCTCATGCCGGCTCCGGCTGAAACGTTCAAGTCTGAGTCGTGTTTACGGACAGTCCCGTGGGGGGAACCCACGACCCCGTACACCGCCATCTCGGACTCGTACCCCACGGGGACGCTCCCGGCCCTGACGCCGCGCTGGTAAGTGGCGTCAGAGTCACTGTAGTACTGTAGAGAGCGTGACGGGCTGGGGTTGTAGGCGTGGCCCTGGGTCACGTGACGCTGGGGCTGGAAGATGACGGCGTACGTCTGGTTGCTGTGGGAGGCCGTGGGGTAGTTGGGGGTGGGGGAGGGGCTGATGCTGCCGTAGCTCCTGTCGGTGCTGCTGTTGGGGAAGCCGGAGTCCGAGTCGGCTTTACGGGACAGCGAGCCCCAGGTGGAACCGTTGTAGTAGCCGTTGGTGGGGGTGCTGGTGTTGGAGCGTCGCTGCAGGGAGCCGTACGAGTAGGCGCTTTCTGGGGTGGGGGTGGTGGGCGTGGAGCCCCTGGGTAAGGAAGCGTATCCCTGGTGGTAGATGATGTCGCGAGTGGAACCACTGCGGGAGGGAGGCTGGGAGAGCCTGCCATAGTGGTCCTTCATCAGACCAGGTCTCTGTTGGACAGTGAGGTCATGCATGTTACTGTAGGCCGACTCTCGGCCGTGCGAGTCTTTGAGGATGCCGTGGATGGGCTGGGGTGCTGGACGCTGCTCGCTGTCGCCGTTATGGTGAGCAGACGTGTGTGGGTCAGGCTGACCAGTGGGGTCAGACCTGCCCTCAGTTTTGGCGTCTGCTAGCACCGGCTCCCCCGCCCCTCCCTGTCCTGGCTTGTTTGAAACATCCATAGCAGGTGCTTGAGCCACTTCCGTTTTTTCATCCGTCCGTGTGACGTCACACGCTCTGGAAACTTCCTTCAGCCCCGGCTGGGTCACCACGACATTTTCCTCAACGACCTCGACCTTTCCCTCTGCCTTGGGTACTTTGGGCTCGGTTTTGACCTTCGACCTGGACTTGTCGTCTGGACTAGGTCGAGTTTTGCCTTTGGCCGAGGGTGACACTGCCCCGCCCTCCTTGCTCGGCTTCTTGGGGGGAGCGGCTGAAACAAGAAAGTCAGAAACGTTAGGTCATGATATAGACATGTGCTGGGCTTTAATCCTAACTGGTAGGGCATCAAATAGACATCTATGAAAAACAGACATTTGTGTAAACCAGACATTTGTGTAAACCAGACATTTGTGTAAACCAGACATTTGTGTAAACCAGACATTTGTGTAAACCAGACATTTGTGTAAACCAGACATTTGTGTAAACCAGACATTTGTGTAAACCAGACATTTGTGTAAAGCAGACATTTGTGTAAACCAGACATTTGTGTAAACCGGACATTTGTGTAAAGCAGCCATTAGTTCAACGTGTCGTGTTTTGTAGATGTCAACACAAAGATAAATTTTACAATTTTTTCCAACCAGGCCCTACCAAAGATCAATGTTACAATACTTAACAGCTTGACCCTGTCATAGATCAGTTTTACATCCTTCTACTAGACCTGGCCCTCCCACACAAATATCAGTTTTACATCAGTTTTTTTTAGCGTCGTCACGAAACAATACGGCCATCACGTGACTAGCTCTAACAAACAAACAATAGATCTTATAGCCGTGCACAATACGGCCATCACGTGACTGACACAGTCAGCACTTTTTATTTCATAACAAAATACTTGCTGACATTAATTATTCAGTGATGGAATGGGGTGAAGGGGGGAGGGGGGGAGGACGGAATGAGGTAAAAGCTTGTGGCACTAAAAGGTATGTTAATATAAGAACATACGGCATACAGGTGTGTGACGGTTAGAACATACGGCATACAGGTGTGTGACGGTTAGAACACACGGCATACAGGTGTGTGACGGTTAGAACATACGGCATACAGGTGTGTGACGGTTAGAACACACGGCATACAGGTGTGTGACGGTTAGAACATACGGCATACAGGTGTGTGACGGTTAGAACATACGGCATACAGGTGTGTGACGGTTAGAACATACGGCATACAGGTGTGTGACGGTTAGAACATACGGCATACAGGTGTGTGACGGTTAGAACACACGGCATACAGGTGTGTGACGGTTAGAACACACGGCATACAGGTGTGTGACGGTTAGAACACACGGCATACAGGTGTGTGACGGTTAGAACACACGGCTTACAGGTGTGTGACGGTTAGAACACACGGCATACAGGTGTGTGACGGTTAGAACACACGGCATACAGGTGTGTGACGGTTAGAACACACGGCATACAGGTGCGTGACGGTTAGAACATACGGCATACAGGTGTGTGACGGTTAGAACACACGGCATACTGACGGTTAGAACACACGGCATCAGGTGTGTGACGGTTAGAACACACGGCATCAGGTGTGTGACGGTTAGAACACACGGCATACAGGTGTGTGACGGTTAGAACACACGGCATACAGGTGTGGGACGGTTAGAACACACGGCATACAGGTGTGTGACGGTTAGAACACACGGCATACAGGTGTGTGTGACGGTTAGAACACACGGCATACAGGTGTGTGACCGTTAGAACACACGGCATCAGGTGTGTGACGGTTAGAACACACGGCATCAGGTGTGTGACGGTTAGAACACACGGCATACAGGTGTGTGACGGTTAGAACACACGGCATACAGGTGTGGGACGGTTAGAACACACGGCATACAGGTGTGTGACGGTTAGAACACACGGCATACAGGTGTGTGTGACGGTTAGAACACACGGCATACAGGTGTGTGACCGTTAGAACACACGGCATACAGGTAAATAAACATAGTGAATACGTCATTCAAGAAATAAGGTGAGAAATCAATTAATTTAAGAAAACTAATGAGTGACTTGACACCCACTCATACAGACTGGTACTAAGGTGAGCTAAACATTGATCTGAAATGTGACGTGTTCTGTTGGTAACTGTCGACATACGGTAATGGAAAAATTGCTTTGTGTAATCTATCGCTTTGTTTACATTTTTAAAAAAGCTTTGTAGTTTAGGATGAAGAAGATGTGAGATCAGGTAATTGTGTTTGGTTGGTAGAGTGGCTTCAAGCTTTAGTCTTGGAGAAGGAGTAGAGGTGGGGGGGGATGTGAGGGGAGGGGTGGGGAGGCGACTAGGTTGTTGGCGGAGGGGATGATTGTTTGACATTAAATATGACACGACTGTTTGTAAGGTGGAGGGGGGAGAGGGTCGATTGCCAACACAACACCAGGTTACTGGTAGCAAATGGTTGATAAGAGAACAGGACTGCTGTGGTGTGTGGAGGTGTGTTCAGGTGTGATGTGTGGAGGTGTGTTCAGGTGTGATATGTAGGTGGGTGAGTTTGATGTGTGTATGTGTTTAGCTGTGATGTGTGTATGTAATGTGTGTGATGTGTGTAGGTGTGTCAGTTTATATGTGTATGTGTTTTGCTGTGATGTGTGTAGGTGGGTGAGTTTGATGTATGCTATGTCAGTTAACGCATGTGAGAGTACACTAAGTATAAACACCTGAACGGGCCATTGGATGAGTGCGCGTGAAACAGTGAGTACCCTGTGGTGTATCGTCACGTCAGTTAAGTGCACACGTCACTAAGTCAGTGTACGACTGCGCGTGTGAGTACCCTAGCTACAACTTCAGGTATCCGTGTGTGAATGCACGTGTAAGGTGAGTACATAGGTGTACCGTCAGGACCGTTGGCAGCCAGGTAAATTCCTCTTTGAATCAATGTTTGTCGCCAGTTTGTATACAGAAATTACCGGAGCCGGTAGGCGGATCTGTTTCTCGGTGGGGATTCCAGTAAAGTCTGCTTCTTGCTGGGAATTCCCATAAAATCTGTTTACATGAACGGCATCAGTCCCTGGAGTCAAAGACTTCCAGGTGAGGGCAGGTGAAACTCGGTACCATAACGTTCGTTAACGGCGCAGGGGTGGCCAGCGGTGGAGGATGTTCTGCGCCCCCCCCCCCCCACACACACACCTTCACATGGTAGGAGGGGGTGTACGGCTCAATTTTTCACAACTCTGTTTTGTCTAAGTGTTGTGGGTCTTGTGGGTTCGTGAAGGCTCAGGGTGACCTTTGATCTGTTGCAATTATATTAGTTGATGTTAATGTGTCACATCAGTGTTAGTGGTCAGTGAGGATTTGGTCAATTAGTGGACCTGGGTCACGTGCTAGACTCGCCATGCTAGTACTCACGGTCCAACCCAGTGGTCAGTGAGGATTTGGTCAGTTAGTGGACCTGGGTCACGTGCTAGACTCGCCATGCTAGTACTCACGCTCCAGCCCAGGGGTCAGTTGCCTGGTCGTGTAAGCTGGACATACGGCTCTACCAACCGTATCCATGGTGACCAGTTTTCTGACAGCGCCACCACTCGCCACCCTCTTCACCTCCTCCATGCTCTCAGCTTTTCTGCTGCTAGTCGCTGACCTCCTCAAATCTCGGGATGGGAGTTTGGTGGGATTTACCGGAAGGGGTCTTCTCGTAGTATTTGAGTAGATTTGTTTTCTGGTGGTTTTTGTGGTTGGCGGTTTAGCCACATCGCTGTCGAGGTCAGCGAGCTTGCGTGGTGGTGACACCACACGTGGCGAGCTCACCCGCTCAAAGGTCTCCAGCTGTCGGGGTGTGTGTGACGTCAGAGGGGTTCTGACGTCAGTGTGGGAGAACGAGTGGTGTGGCCTCCGCGGGTGACGCCGGGCGTGTTCCGGTCGGTTGTGTTCGCGTCTTGTCTGCAGCAGTTTGTACTGGCTGGCATCGGTGACGTCACAGCAGAACATGGCGCTCCCGGGGGGTGGATAGTGGATCACTAGGACGGTGGATCACTAGAACGGTGGATCACTAGAACGGTGGATCACTAGCACGGTGGATCACTAGCACGGTGGACTAGTGCAGTGGTTAAAGCACAGAGCGAACCATCACCCACAGTCAACCAAAAAATTTGTGTTTATTAAAACCCCGAAATCATCGTCGATAGCGTCTACTACTCAATACACATTTTAAATATCGTCGATAGCGTCTACTTCTCTATACACATCTTAAATATCGTCAGCGGCGTCTACTTCTCTATACACATTTTAAATATCGTCAGTGGCGTCTACTTCTCTATACACATTTTAAATATCGTCAGTGGCGTCTACTTCTCTATACACATTTTAAATATCGTCGATAGCGTCTACTTCTCTATACACATTTTAAATCAGTGGCGTCTACTTCTCTATACACATCTTAAATATCGTCAGTGGCGTCTACTTCTCTATACACATTTTAAATATCGTCAGTGGCGTCTACTTCTCTATACACATTTTAAATATCGTCAGTGGCGTCTACTTCTCTATACACATTTTAAATATCGTCAGTGGCGTCTACTTCTCTATACACATTTTAAATATCGTCAGTGGCGTCTACTTCTCTATACACATTTAAATATCGTCCATCTTTTCTAGTTGAAGATGTGTGTTGACGCTCTCTAAAATATCGTGGATAACTTCAACACATCTTCAAGAAGAAAAGATCACAGAAACCGGATTAAAAGCTTGGCACTGAATCTTGACAAAAAATAAACCAGCACTTGTGGCGTGGATCAATACAGTTAAAGGCTGGCATCTAGAGAGTACAGGGACTTGGGTAGACATCTAATGGAGTTAGCTAGATCACAGGGAACATTAAGGGAACATTACAGGGAACATTACAGGGAACAGTAGGTTACGGGCGCTTGTGTAGACATCTAATGGAGTTGGCTAGATCACAGGGAACATTAAGGGAACTTAAAATGGAACAGAAGATTAAGGACTTGAGCTATATCACAGGGAACATTACAGGGAACTGAATTTAAGAGGACGTGTAGACAGAGTGAAGTATTTCACAGGGAACATAAAGTAAATTAAGGGAACATAGAGAACAGGAAGCTACAAAACGAGTGTAGATATATTAGAGCAACATCACAGTAACAAGACATTACATAACATGAATACACATCTGACAGAGCTAGTCTACAAAAAAATAAATAAATAACTGAGAAGGAACAGACAAGGAACATCAGCTACCAATTTGAGGAACTG